CTGCCCCGCGTGCGCCTGCACGCATAGAAGGAGGCACATATTTCCCACCAATGGTGGAGGCACCTGCAGTGGGCGCTCCTTCATCCCCAGCAGCACCGAAATCGTCTTCGCCGCCGGCTTTTTCACCTGGAAGGATGGTGAGTAATGAATCTCCTTTGACAGACAAATGAGAACACACCCATAGCATCGAGACCAGCAAGTTCGTTCTTGTAGGGACACTTCGCTGTGTAATGTCCACCCGAGCAAAGTCGACATTTTAGCTGACCAGCGCCCGACTTCTTCAAGTTGTCCTTGATAATCTGCTCCTCTGATGGTTCGTTGTCGACATCCTATATCCAGCAGCGACACAATTAGCAAAATTTAACAACATAGTTCTTGTGAGACGAGTAATGACCTTGTTGCCAGCCGTGAGTTTGAGGATGACGTTCTCCCTCTCGATCGTCGTGGTCGCAACCTGCGGGCCAGGCGAGCTCCCTTTCTCCTTCCCAAACTTCGCCCATTGTCTCCGCTCTGCAACTGCATGCTCGACGACCGCCTTCTGGATCTTCTTCCGTATTTTCTTCGTGACCTGCACACACAAGATAGACGCACCGAAGAGCCATTAGTAAGTGACACGCATAATTCACGACGACAACTCTTTACAACGCACCTTCACTTTCTTGCCATCGTCGTTGATGACGATCTCCTCAATCGTGATAATTCCGTTCTCATCGATCGTCTGCTTTGGTTTTGGGAGCTTTGGGAGTTCTGCAACATAAAACACATGGGTGAGGTGAGGAACTCGAATCTTGTGTCGACCGTGTCACATCAACTCACCAAACTCGTCGACGTCGTCCGCCCATGATGCTGCCCTAATACCACACGAAATTAGACATTAGAGCATAGTTGAGATACTTGAATTCAAGCGTACGCAGTCGCCATTTTTGATGAAGTGTAGAGGCTTTGGGTTGAGGATTTCGCGTCGAGAGCCAGCGAGCCCGCTTCACAAGTTTTCCAAGGATTCACACGGCCGTGATGACTTCTGTGAGCACAGCTTTTTTCCCTCTCGCAAACCATCGACTCCGTAAAATCCTGCTTGATGCATTCGACGAAATCAAAACCTTCGGATAACATGAATAAGCTCAAATAGCTCGAGGAATCACATTCGCTGAAAAAGCTCAGGACATTTTGCATAGGTTCCACTTGCAATATGTAGGTACTCTTACCTCGTATTTCTTCAAACCACCCATCCGCTCCGGAAACAAATAAGTTCAGAGCATACAGCCGATGCGACCTCTTATGGACGAAACTTTCAATGAAAACTCTACGAAGACTCTCGCTACTGAAAGGCAAATTTGTATCTGGTCACGCCCGGGCCCTCTACTTCCCGTTCACCGTTCAGAGAGCGCATCTTAAAATTGGTCACAGCACAAGCAGACTTAAATATAATTTTAATCCATGGTACGCCTTGTCCTCCTAGTCTGTCTAAATAGTTCTTCCTATCTCCATTATTAGGACAACGCGTCAGGTGTAAGATACACACGTATCTCGCCTACTCTTCCTCATCACCCGTCTCCCATCTCATCGTGTCGAGCTGTCCATCGTTACTACAAATTGGAGGGGTACCCATCCTGCGTATCACCCCCTTCCCAGGCGTCTTTTCTCCTTCAAGAAAAATTTTGTACTCAAAGAGCCTTGTTTCCTCGCGCAGACCACCCAAAGCATCCCAGTTGTTCACAGGCGGTCGCATCGAAGCGCGATCTTATCACGACACTTCCGTCCACTTTGTCGCACCTCGGGACTAATCCGCGGATCGAAAGGCAGTGCATCCTAATTATGAAGAGCCTTGGTCAGTCGCGAACTCTTTCTCTCCCTGGCCAGTTATGACTCTTCGAATGCACGTTGGGCAGCGATGCGTCTCGATCTCTTTGATGGTTGATTTTATTGGTCGACAGAAGGAGGAAAGTGTAGTCCGCAAACGACGAAGAACATTCTGTGCTACATTAATACGGATGACGACAGAGGGGGGAGAGAAGGGAAAGATAGTCCAAGTCTAGGCAACATCCGACACCGTGTCCATCGTCTGATACCCAAGGCCATTCAGAATTTGACCTTCACGACGTGCTCCCAGAACTTCTGGCCCTGGATTTTCGCAACCTCTAACTCGAGTGCGGTGGGTTGCCTGCTACCGTCGGGACCAGCGAATGTACCCGCACCCCATGGCGAGCCGCCGTGCACCTCTGCGGTATTTGTGAGCTGGCCGAACACTGCAGCGTATCCGAGGGGCACGAAGATGATTCCGTGATGCGTGAAGGTAGAGATGGCGTTCGAAACGGTCATCTCCTGCCCGCCACCTGGGGACGCGGTGCTCACGAACACGCTGGCGTATTTCTTGGTGAGGGCTCCCGAGCCCCAGAGGCCGCCCGTCTGGTCCCAGAAGACCTGAGTATATGCGCCGCGAGAAGGCGCGAAGCGGAGATGCGCGCACCGTGAGTGATGAGCGCGGACGAGGTGTGGGGGAAATGCTCACCTTCCACTGGGCAGGGAAGTTACCGTAACGCGTGGGGATACCGAAGATGAAGGCGTCGAACTCAGAGAGTTTGTTGATATCGCTGAAGACCGGGTAATCGGGCTTTGGAGGGGCATGCATCTTTGTGAGGATCTCCTCTGGGAGGGTCTCCGGGATTCTGGGATGGCAACGCATATAGTCAGCTCTTGGATACGTATGAAGAGTGAATGGCCACGCACTGGAAGATGGTCGTCGTGCCACCCGCTGCCTCTACGCCCGCCTTGACGGATTCCGCCACTAATGTATTTGTGAGCTCTCTACTCGATAGATGTCGCGCATGTATACTCACTCTTGGCTATATGGCCAAACATGGAGTAGATAATAATCGCGACTCTGGGGGTGGACATTTCTGGTTCTGGCGCTTGTTCCTGGACGTCGATAGGTTCTGTAGACGCGATGGGAGGTAGTTCTGTGGTGTTGTTTGCGTTGGAGGTGTTCTCGGGTTGTTGGGAACCGTTGGCGGGTTGCTGGGGAGGGTCTTGCTTTGCGGTGTCTGGCTGGGTCGCGTCCTTGTGGATGTCCTTTGTGCGTTTGGAAGGGAAACACATTGACGGCGAGGGCGAGGAGAGCAGCTTTATATGCGTGGGGGATGTGGGACTGGACGTACAAATCGGGGGATTGGCGGGGAGATCGGATTATCCTCTGCTCGCCAGGGCCATTCACTCGTCCTAATCCAAGACAGGAACCCCGCACCCACGGCTCTCCCTCGGCTCAGTCCCCGAAGGGTAGCCCGCACTACACGGTCAACCTCTCCCTGCCCAATCCTCCATCCTCCATCCCGCGTCGCCCTGGCAGGTGCGGCATGCTACTAGTACCTCTCGATAATCGCTATCTCATTCACCATCCATCTCCCCTCATTCCATTCATCTTATTGTATAACTACCTTCTCGACGCTCGACAGCAGTCGCAATCATCACGTCAGTCGAACACATCTCGAGATCTAATCGCGAACGACACCCTCCGGTCATCGCCTCGAGGCACGTCGGCGCGATCGACGCATCCATGTCGTAGTCAGCATCTCGGCCCTCCGACGTCGGAAGCATCTACAGGTGAGTAAGAATAATCCCCTTCAAGTTCAATTATCAGTTATTCTCGGCCGCCATCCGCCATTCGACGTTGGACAGGCTATTTGACAACATCGCCCCCTTACCCCTCTTTGCTCTTATTTTAGTCACGGTTCCGAGTCGGGTTTCGTACTCGACGCGACGCTGGCCTTCCATTCCTCCTCGAGAGTTTGACAAACATCAGACGGACAACGAGGATTCGGTAACGTGTTGTTTAATTAATATCGGAAGAGATTTTTGACGATATCAAGGACAAATAAGTCTTTCCGTTCCCGTACGTTTCCAGGCGCTTTCGAAGTGCATTCGATTAATTAACTTGCACCTGACCGAGAACTTGGGAAGTGCGTTTCGCGAAACAGTCCAACAGTTACACGCTTCTCTTCCCAACCGAGGCACCTTGTGCTCTAATTTATTGGCCGCCGTGATCGCTCTCATGTTGATGCACATAGCGTGGACATGCGTGGATTCCTCTGCGGCTACGAATACTGTTCCCTCTATGTAAGTTCATCGGCAATCTTGAATGCGTCGGACTTCCTGTACTCCGAAGGCATCGTCCTCAAGATCGTGTAGCAGCGATACTCAGGCGCGTATGCTCTCATTGATTTATGTTTTTCTCTTTCTAAAAATCTGATCCCCTACGTACGGTCTTTACTGAAACTCTCACATGATTTTACACCGAAACACCGCCTGTAACAATTACTCTCCCAGATACGTGTGCAATTTGTTATCCGATCGAACAGTCTACGATCGGTCTTTCGAAAACCCCTTCTGTGCTTTCGTTTCATTCCCCTTCTCGAAATCTCATACTTCTTCTCCAATCAGGACACCTCCATTGCGATTTGGATTGCAGAAAGGAAGCACGCACCTTTTTCAACGCGCGGAGGGGCTTCGACTTCCGACATTTCGGCCCCGACTCAGGAGGGATCGACGCTGCACCGCCACGGTGCATTGCATCGTCGATCGCGCGTAATCTCGAGACACTCCACAAATCGTCGAACGTGAAGGGATGTTGCACTTCCGATTCGTGACCTCGGATTGCGCATACTAGGCATAGGATGTGACCCTTATATTAACATAAGTTGAAGTCGGAACTTACGACAACGATTCTGTATCCAAGAATACTCAGTCCAATAATATATGTAGCATTCATATGTCAGCAACTCGAAGATAGAAATACTGAAAACCTATCAACCGGACACTGATACCGTGAATGCTCCTTTTCTGTGAGACAATCATAACTGACCGGTACTGACCGTCATCCTTCATTGAGCCTATCAGAAAAAGGTTCCTCGATGGGACAAGTTGTATAAAACTTCGCAGAGAAATTCAGCGGCGACCGTTAACGAAGAAAACGAAAACTTTGACTCCCAAAAAGAAAGCAAAACGAATGGACGACGAGCGGATCGAACGCTCGACCTCTCGCAATCAAACAAGTGTTCTATCCACATGCAAAGCGAGCGCTACTACCACTGAGCTAGACGCCCTCTACAGAGGACCCGTTATATTTATTATATATCATATATCTTGTAAACATGTAATACAAGCTTGGACGTTCAATTGTCCCTTCCTTCTAATGCTATAAAATGCTAGTAAGAATACTAGTATCTGACTACATTCACTAGTAGATCTGAAGACAGAATGCGCTTTCGGTGAGAATAAATCCAAAGAATTGGGGCACTATTTGATTCCGACGAGTTTTTCCCCCCACATTGCAGCTTCCCGAATGTCATACATTCTGGTATCCTTGTGAGGGCCTTGTAACAACATTTTGAACATACAAATTGGTGGAGTTTTGCACATACCCTATAGTTACAGTAGTATACCAACACTGCATGCTCTGTATGCGACTGGAAACTACCAAGTGTACGTCGCATACTAGTACCATTGTATCGATGAACATTGTCATCATCTGCGACCTCGTTGCTATTCAAGTTGCTTTGCTGAATTCATTGCGGCGATAAATATTGGAGTACCGACGCACCTTCACTTCATCCTTATCTCCCAGGTAACGTTATTCCTCAGCAAAATCCAATGTCTACCACAGGTTTCGTCTACAACTGCACACATCCAGGATGCGATAAACAATTTACTCATGGGCATTTCCTTCTCCATCACTTGGAGATGGACCACTTGTATGTCATTAAATTCCCTTGTCAATACGAAGGCTGTGGTCTCGTCTGCGACAAAGTATATCATCTTAGTGAACATATCAAGACTCACACCGTGCACGACGAAAGCTGGGTCCCTTGTCCTTGCTGCGGGAAAATCGTCTTTAAGACTCAACTTGTGGACCATTATAACTCTGGTTGCTATTTGTTTTGGTATTGATAACAGATTCCTTCTTCTTGCCGAGGAAGGAGAGTGACGGTCTGGCAAAGAGGTTTATTCTTGAAGATGGAAAACAAGCGTTAGTAATCAGGCGCGTAATATAAAATGGTACATGTAAAATTAATTACCCAAAAGGATTCGGGGTCGCGGACTCTGCAATGTGCTTCTGAGGCGTGAAATGGAGACTCGTGCTGTATTTGATGTGGCAAATGGGAGCATTCTACCGTTTGAGTAACTCGTGAGCTTGATCCTGTATACTAGTGTAAGGAACATACGTTCAAGCAGGCTGCGCGCATTGACACTTCCACGGATGTTGTAGAAATTCCCGGTTATCTTGACGCGTAAAATAATTCCCCTCCGATACGTGACTGGAATCCGCCCGGTGTCCGAAGCATAGCGAAGGTAAAAGTAGAATCCCGACATTAGTTTCGAGGTGCCAGTGAGTGGTCCGGGAAAAGAGCAAGTGTCCGAGTCGCGTAGATCGACCAGGAGCGGAAGGTCTTTCAGATGAGATCTTGTGGTGAAGTCAATGATGCTTGTCCGGATCCCAGACGGCATCTTATTTGGAATGAGGTCAGAAAACTTAGTTGATTGAGTGGGGGCGATATCGCAGAAGCGACCGGCATGTCAATGCGTTGTCCACGTTGACTTTTGAAGATGCACAAAGAGTATTTGAAGCAGCACCGAGTAGCATCTTGATTGAAACGCAGCGCAAATTGCTTTCACTGGCAACACGTTCGATGAAACGGCGTCGCATTGTAAGGGACATGAAAACACCCATTCCAAGCTGCGCAAGGGTGCGTTCGGCCTCGGTGTTGGGATCTCCAGTTTTGACGGAAAGTAACTTTCTAAGAATTATCCGGTTGATAACTTAGAGCAAATGAAGATCGAAAACTTAGCTTCGTCGAGACTAGAACAAGGCACGCCGGTGTTTAGATCATCGAACGAATAGCTTGTTATTGTCGAAGCGTCCATTTCGGAATCGGTTTGCAATGTTTGTGTTAGCTAGAATGAAAATTTCGCATTTTTTCTGTCAGTTTCAGTGCAGCATTCTCTAGTTACTTCATATGCATTCACAGATTGTCTTTGACTTACCTGAGAATTCATTCAAGGACAAGACAGAGATTCAAGACGTGTCCCATTGGGAGCCAAAAGTACTCTAAGCTGACATTCTCGCTTGTAGAATATATCTGGCGCGACACTTTTATCACAGAGAACTTTACGGTCGCAGAGATATAGCGAACGCGGGCTGTTTGAAGTTGAAGTTGCGAGGAGCGGTGATGCGGGAGCAATTCCTACGTATCGGAAGTTAAATGCGTAAGCTAAGGCAAAAGCCAATGACGAATAAGGATTTGAAGAAGCTTGAAAAACATACGGATGCGGTTGATGTCAAAGAGCGTCCGTCGACAATCACCAACGCAAAAATGCGGCGAAATTTCCGAAGCCAATTGGAAACGCAGTGAGAGATGGTCGCGTCCGCTAACGCGTTGAGCTCATTGCCGCGGGACTGCGGACGAATATTCCCAACGGTCCTTCTTCCGTCGGAATCATAGGGTGATCAGAGCAGCCCACTATTCATAGCGCCATTTCCCGACGACATCCCAGAAGAAAGTGGCATGACAGCGCAATGGCGAGCGTTCGAAGGCATGTTTGCGCTAAGTCCACGAATGAGCAACGCGGGGAGTTGACAGCTTCGAGCGAGTCTAAATGCTTGATTTTGTTGGGAAGTCGAAGGGGGCGTTCTCCGTCTGAGACCTGGACAGAGATTGCCCGCAGAGCAAGGAAATCAAAGATGTGGGTTGGCGTCCCTCCGCTGAAGACGCGCCCTGCCCTCGTATGATCTCGCGCAAGTTAAAATCCAATTGGCGGTAAGGTGTGGGAAAGTTGGGGACCCCCACTTTCGGCAGAAACTTATAGTACCGCGTCGCATTTTTCAACGCTTTCTTTTCTTCAACGACCATCTCCTCCTCTCTCCTGCTCACCGTCGTCCCGCTACAATGTCTGCAAAACGTGCGTGTCACCCGCGAAGTTCCTCTCCTCATCGTGCTCGCTGCTGATCCACGCGTCTTTCCTCGTGAACAGCGATCCGCGAGTTCGACGCGAAGCTCGTCCTCGGCTACTGGCTGCCGCGTTCGCCCTCCCTTGCAAACCCATCCAGCAAGCCCGAGGCCGATCTCGGCACCCCCTTCGTCTTTCCTACCTCTCAGGTCGCTCAGATCAGCTGGGATGAGGCCACGAACACGATCACCCCCGACTCTCAAGTCCCTCAATGGGTTTTCCAGTCGAAACTCGTGGCGAAGCCAGACCAGCTCATCAAGCGTCGTGGAAAGGCCGGACTGCTCGCGTTGAACAAGAGCTGGCCGGAGGCAAAGCAGTGGATTGCAGAGCGCGCAGGGAAGCCCGTCAAGGTGAGCACTCCATTCCATGCACTTTGTCTCGAAATGCGAGCATTTCGACCTTGTCCGAGAGCTCTCCGTAATAACCGCATACATGCATACATGCAGCGAGGATAACATGTTTTGGGGTTACACGGACATGCTCTAATTGTTTATTCCCCTTGCCCATCGGCCTTCGCTTCCGCCCTTACTCGTGTTCGTATCAATTAGAAAGTTTGCGGCTAACTATATCTTCAAATCAGGTCGAGAAAACTACAGGTGTCTTGACAAGCTTCATCGTTGAACCCTTCCTTCCTCACCCGTCTCACACGGAGTTCTACATTTGCGTTACCTCTGCGCGTGAGGGCGATACCATTCTCTTCACCCATGAAGGCGGTGTGGAAGTAGGTGATGTTGATGCAAAGGCGCTCAAGCTTGACATTCCCGTCGGCGCCGCCTTCCCGCCCCGTGCCACCGTCGCTTCGACGCTCCTCACCAACGTGACGGACAAGAAGAAGAAGGAGACCCTTGTTGATTTCATCACTCGTCTGTACGCCGTCTACGTCGACCTTCACTTCGCCTACCTCGAAATCAACCCCCTGATCTGTCTCGATGGTGTCAATGGTGGAGAGCCCATCGTCCAATTCCTTGACATGGCTGCCAAGCTTGACCAAACTGCTGAGAGCATCTGCGGCCCCAAGTGGGCGATCGCTCGTGATGTTTCTATCGGCGATGTAAGCAAAGGCTCGAAGGTCGTCGGCGCTGATCGCGGACCTCCAATGGTCTGGCCAGCACCATTCGGAAGGCAATTGACTCGCGAGGAAGCTTACATCCAGAAGCTTGATGGCTCAACGGGCGCGTCTCTCAAGCTCACTGTGCTCAACCCTGAGGGCCGTGTCTGGACTATGGTTGCTGGTGTGTTAATTGCAACCTGATTATATGCGCATATATTCACCTTTTTTGAATTTAATGAATTTAAGGTGGTGGAGCCTCGGTCGTCTACTCCGACGCCATTGCTGCTCACGGTTTTGCACATGAGCTCGCCAACTACGGCGAGTACTCTGGTGCACCCACCGAAGGACAGACCTACGAATATGCAAAGACGCTCATTGATCTCATGACCCGCGGGACACCGAATGCTGATGGCAAAATCCTCATCATCGGTGGTGGTATCGCTAACTTCACGAACGTTGCTGCAACCTTCAAGGGCATTATTCGTGCTTTGAAGGAGTACAAAGCCAGCCTCATCGCACACAACGTAAGCTTGGGTCAATGTAGTATTTTCGAATGCTAATTCAACTTTTCTCTCAGGTGAGAATCTTCGTTCGTCGTGGTGGTCCGAACTACCAGGAGGGTCTGAAGGCGATGCGTCTTTTAGGCGAATCGCTCGGAGTACCCATCAAGGTTTATGGTCCCGACACGCACATCACGGAAATTGTCCCGATCGCATTGGGGGTGAAGACCACTCGCAAGACTGGAATCAGCTCTGCTCGTTCCATCCCTGCATCTGCACCAGCTTCCCCGCCGGCGTCCGGCAAGACCTCTGACTTGCCCGCTGCCGAAAGCGCAATCGGTGCCATTCACCCCGACGGTGAACGAACGAACGCGGACGACAAGATTGTCCACTTCGCGGATGGCAAGCAGACTCAGCGCCCGTGGTTCAAGCCTTTCGATGCACAGACCCGTAGCTTGGTCTTCGGTCTCCAGCCCCGTGCCATCCAGGGCATGCTCGACTTCGACTACTCTTGCGGTCGTGATACCCCCTCCGTTGCTGCCATGAT